TTTGGTATTAACACTTGGATGTGAGAAAATTATTCAAATGATGTTTCCGCATTTATTTATAATCTACTATAGTTGAGAAAAAAAAAGTATTTACGCATTTTGCTGTTTATTGAGAATACATATTTACAGGATATTTCGACTTAAGTAGCGCCTTGAGTTAAATGAAATTTGGGGCATTACAAGTGGTGTGCAAAACTTTTGGAAGGAAAAAACTGGAAGAAACCGAACAACAACAAAACAAGTACACATGTGCAAGTGTGCGCCCGCACATGAATTGTATGTGATTCTCGCACATGGTGTTTTTCAATTGTTTAATAGTTGATTCAAATTGCAGTTGAGCCTTTGTAGTAATGAAGAGAAATTTTAGTTATGCAACGTTTCCTTTTTATGGTTGTTTCGTTTAGTTAATGGTATGATTTCTTTACAGGTTTAGGCTAAAAAATAGATAAATCATTGTCTTAATTATGGTGATTGATTTATGACACATTCTTTAATCCTTGTAGAGACTAGGATTTGATGCCCAATTCAGTTAAAGGCACTTATGTTGCATCCCTGTTATTCTTGTGAGGACTTGGAAATGCATGTTAGAGTCTGTGTGTATTATAAAATTATTGGGGGAAGATGATGTAATTGAGATCATGATTCTGCAACTATACTGTCCTTAATTAGATATCACACAATAATTTCAAACAGTGAGTTGAACAGTACAAAAGAACATTTCTTTATTGTAAGAAAATTATATGTAAATGTATTATGTGCGATGGGAAAGATATTGAGATTGATAGACTGTACATTTTTTTTACTGGTTTCAGCATGAAAAGAAAGCTAACAAAAAGCTAATGAAAAGACAGTACGACCATAATTCCTGGTCTTAAAGAAAGTAGTAACTCTCCAATAAGAAGCTTTAGACTTGAGAGATTAATGTCATTCCAAAACCTGCAGCTGTACCAAGATATGATCTTCAAGGTATTTAGGCCTTAATGGGAATTCTGGCGGCATCACCCCCTCTACAACTCAAAAAATGCTGATATCAAGGACAGTGCCATGATTTATTCCACTGGCGAGATAAAACACACAGATATCAAATTCTTCCGAAAAATTGTGAACCACGAAATCATCACAACCTTTTTTCAGTCTTCTTCCATCACACGTGCGACAGTATTTGGCTTTCAAAGTATCTTGTATGGTGCGGAGAACAAAATCTGGACTTTTTGGATGGACATTGACCCTTGCCCATTTAGAAGGGATAGTCAGGAAGAATCATCTGTAGACATGTGCCAGATGCATAACTACAGTAAAACAGTTTCTGACGATGCTGCATTTGCCTTTGTTTTTTCCAGTGCTTCTCCTATTTCCTCATCAGTAATAGCCCTTCGACAGTATGTAACACTTCAAGCACTTATTTATTTCCCTCCCAGCCTTCACATTTGATCTGGTTTGGTAGTCTTGAGAATGTTGGTGTATTTGTAGAATCATTCTTGAGATTTTTCTCTGAAATATAGTCATCATCATCAGAAGATTCATCGTATTGTTCATTAGTATCTTCATCATCTGTTCTTCCTGGCACATTACTGTTTAGCAATGATGCTGCATTTGCTTAGATTCTTGTACTGCCTTCACTTTTACCTCTCCAGTTAGTGCCATTCTACAGAATGTCAGCTACAACGCATTTCCACCAATCCTATTGCTATAATGGTGTCTGCCCTTATTGTTTCCCTTACGAGCCTTTGCATTAGGTCTGGTAGGTAGTCTTTAAAGGAATATTACAGGATGCTAGTCATCATCCTCATTGGAAGATTCAATATCTTCATCTTTAGTTCTTGCTGGCACGTTGCTCCTGTTACAGATAAATTCCCTTTGAAGGCTCAGTTGGAAATACAAGTCTACCAACTATAATCATCTTCCAATCAGAAAAATAATTTTCTAATATTACAAAAAATCACATTTAAAACAAGCTATAAATAGGAAGTTCAATTCATCAAGTTATTTCATTAAGAATTTTTCCAAATTTAAAGAACTTGAAAAAATCATCAACATAATTAACATAACATAGATGAAAAGTGAAAATACTTCTAGTTTGTTTCTCTTAGTTGTATATATCTACTTATCCCAACAAATCTTCCTTATTCTATAGAACCATGTATTGGTTTTGTAAGTGTTCGTGTCTCAAATTTAAATATTTAAATATGGCCCATGTGTGTGCGGTAGAGTAAATATATAGCATTATTTACAAATTATAAATTGAAAAGAAAAATGGCAAGATTCCAATAAAGGCAACAATAGCAATGAAGAAAAAGAAGATATGTGTAGTCACAAAAAAATGTCTAAATGCAAGAAACCCTAATTTCCTTTTATACAAGATACCAAGCGAAAAACAATATAAAGATAGTGGTCCTCTGGTTACATCAGTATAATGGCAATTCATAAAATTAATGCTTCCTTTCGTGCAAGTGCATGCATCGGTCAAGATACTTATGCCTTAATGGGCATTCATCACCCTCTCTTCAACTCGAAAAATGCTGATATCGAGGATGATGCCATCATTTATTCCACTGGCAACATGAAATACACATACATCAAATTCTTCTAAAAAATTGTGAACCACAAAATCATCCAAACCTTTTTTCAGTCCCCCACCCACATCTCCAACGGTATTTTGCTTTAACTGTATCCCGTTCGGTGCGGAGGAAAAAATCTTCACTTTTCAATGGAAATTGACCCTTGCCCACTTAGAAGGGATAGTCAAGAAGAATACTCTATAGAAGTGTTGGATGCATGACTACAGTAAAACAGTTTTATGATGATGCTGCATTTGCCTTTGCTTTTTCCAATGCTTCCTCTTTTTCCTATTCAGTAACAGCCCCCTCTACGGATGTACACTTCACGCACTTATTTTTCCTCTCCAAGCCTTGCATTTGTTCTTGTTGGTAGTCTTGATAATGTTGGTGTATTTGCAGAATCAGTCCTGAGATTTTTCACATGGATATAATAATCATCTCAGAAGATTCATCCGAAGTTCATCGCTACCTTCACTATCGGTTCTTGCTGGTACATTATTGTTTATCAATGATGCTGCATTTGCCTTAGCTTCTGGTACTGCCTTCCCTTTTACCTATCGAGTTACAGCCCTTCTACGGAATGAGAACTGCAACGAATTTCTCCCAATCCTATTGCTAGAACGCCATCTGCCCTTAACTGATCCCCACACTAGCATTTGCATTAGCTCTGGTAGGTACTCTCCTTAGTCATTTTACTGGAGGGTAGTCATTATCATCGTTGAAAGATTCAATATTTTCATCTTCAGTTCTTGCTAACACGTTGCTGTTTCTCTTACAGCCAAATCCCCTTTGTAAGGCTCAGCTGAAAACACAAGTTTGATAACTACACTCATCCTCCTATCAAAAAAGTAAATATTTCTGAAATTACGAAAATGAAGTCATATTAGAAAGAAGCTATAAATAGGAAGTTCCAAGTTATTTCATTATGAAAATTTTCGAATTCTATATAATTAACAAAGATGAAAAATTAAAATAACTCTACTCTATTTCTTTTAGTTTTCTATATCTACTTATCCCTAAAAATCTTCCTTATTCTTTATAATAATGTATTACTTTCGTAATAGTCTTCATGTCTCAAATTAAGATAATGTTGGCCCATGTGTGCAAGGTAGAGTAGATATAAAACATTATTCTCGAGTTATAATTGGAAAAGAAGAAATGGCAAGATTGCAATAAAGGCAATAGCAAAAAAAAACAAAAAAACAAAAAAAGAAGAAGATATGTGATGTCACAGAAAAATATCTAACACAAGAAACCATAAATTCCCTTTTATACATGATGCCAAGCGAAAATCAATGGAAAAGTAGTGGTCTTTTGGGGACATTCTTGTAAACTGTAGTTCAAAAAAATAGTGCTTCCTTTTGTGCAAGTGCATGCACGCAAACAAGTTGCACATGATTCTCCTACGTAATATTTCTCAGTTGCTTCATTGTCATTGTTGAGCATTGTAGTAATGAAATTAAATATTTTAGTTTATATTATTGTTATTAGTAAATCTTCACATGATTCTCCTACGTAATATTGCTCAGTTGTTTCATTGTCGTGGATGAGCTTTTGTAGTAATGAAATTAAATATTTTAGTTTCATATTATTGTTATTAGTAAATCTTCGCTCATTAGATAAATACCGCAAGAGATTCCTCATGTTAGCGGAACAAAAGAGAGGGAGGAAAGGAATTTTTCAAAGAGTTGTGAGTGATGTAAATAAATTTATAAATATCGTGAATGAATAGTTCAGGTTACCAACAATGTATCATGTGCTGAAGTATAAGCATGCAACTCATGGCAGTGAAAGTCCCTAATAAGTTCTCCGACGATTTCTTTACAATGAATCTATATTCGCGGAGAGTGGCTTCACTGAAAACTACTGTCTTATGCTTGTCAAAAGTGTGTGTTTTTTTTTTCTTTACTCTTTCTGAATCAAGAAAGTTTGTGGTTGGTCGTGAAAACAGTTTATGGGAAGTTCCAACTTCGGTTGATGAATTAGGTAACTAGGCTAAAAAAACTCTCATCTCCAGATTGGTAATTCTCTAGGTAATTCTTTCTACATTTGTTCCAAGATGTGGTTGGTCCTGAAAACAGTTTTTGTGCTCGCTTTTACATGGAGCAGGAGACAGCTTATGGCGGGTCAATGGAAAGCGGTGTTCATACAGGTGGTGGTGGAAGGAATACTCGGGGTCCCACAGCCAATGTTGCCGTGAGACCCCTGCCTCAGCTTAGAATAAATTCTGAAGCTCGAACGTTAATCTTTGAACTGGATCAATTAAATGGATTGACATAAACTCTCACCTTGAAGGGGACCAACTTGATTAAGAAGCACTCTTGAGTGTACTATTCACCCAATCTCTCCCTTTGGTTTGAGAAGACTACAGAAAAGTAATATTTATCGTGAGAGAATATTTCATTTTATGTTATTATACATGTCAATTTGTTTTTTTTCAAAAACTAGCTAAGAAATATTGTTGAAATGTATCCAGTGCATTTGTAATGAACTAAAAGAGCTTGTTTGGGAGGAATTTTTGGAGGAAGAATTGATTTTTGAATAGTGATATGATAGAAAATGTGTGGTTGAAAAAAAAAATATTATTGTTATTAGTAAATCTTCACTCATTAGATAAATACCGCAAGAGCTTCCTCATGTTAGCGGAACAAAAGAGAGGGAGGAAAGGAATTTTTCAAAGAGTTGTGATGTAAAAAAATTTATAAATATCGTGAATGAATAGTTCAGGTTACCAACAATGTTTCATGTGCTGAAGTATAAGCATGCAACTCATGGCAGTGAAAGTCCCTAATAAGTTCTCCGACGATTTCTTTACAATGAATCTATATTCGCGGAAAACGGCTTCACTGAAAACTACTGTCTTATGCTCGTCAAAAGTGTGTGTTTTTTTTTTCTTTACTCTTTCTGAATCAAGAAAGTTTGTGGTTGGTCGTGAAAACAGTTTATGGGAAGTTCCAACTTCGGTTGATGAAATAGGTAACTGGGCTAAAAAAACTCATCTCCAGATTGGTAATTCTCTAGGTAATTCTTTCTACATTTGTTCCAAGAGAGTTTGTGGTTGGTCGTGAAAACAGTTTTTGTGCTCGCTTTTACATGGAGCAGGAGACCGCTTATGGCGGGTCAATGGAAAGCGGTGTTCATACAGGTGGTGGTGGAAGGAATACTCGGGGTCCCACAGCCAATGTTGCCGTGAGACCCCTGCCTCAGCTTAGAATAAATTCTGAAGCTTGAACGTTAATCTTTGAACTGGATCAATTAAATGGATTGAGATAAACTCTCACCTTGAAGGGGACCAACTTGATTAAGAAGCACTCTTGAGTGTACTATTCACCCAATCTCTCTCTTTGGGTTGAGAAGACTACAGAAAAGTAATATTTATCGTGAGATAATATTTCATTTTATGTTATTATACATGTCAATTTGTTTTTTTCAAAAACTAGCTAAGAAATATTGTTGAAATGTATCCAGTGCATTTGTAATGAACTAAAAGAGCTTGTTTGGGAGGAATTTTTTGAGGAATAATTGATTTTTGAATAGTGATATGATAGGAAATGTGTGGTTGAAAAAAAAAATTATTTATGTGATGGAAAATATTATTTTATTAAAGAATGTGTGGTTCAAAATGAGAATTGATTTACTGTAAAATTTGAAAGTTTCTCCCAACCAACCCCAAAGTATAGCCAGATCAAGTATTATGAACTCTCTCAGTAGTGTAAAAGACAAAAGACACACATGTATGCAGGGACGGATCCAGGGCCAGTTTACAGGCCAGGCTAATAATAATAAAAAAAAAATTGGGGAAAATTCATAAATAAGGTGTTTAGTTTACACCAATTCAAAAATCATATTTATAGTTTGAAAATTCAAAAATCAGGTTTTTTTTTTAATATAATATAATATATTAAACTCACTCCATATGCACCA